AGTTGTCACCTTATTCTGATGTAATTAGGAAACCGAACCAGATGTTCGTAAAATCCATGGGCCTATGGAAGCCAGCCAACTAAGGGACAGATGAGCAAGGCTGCAGACGAACTATCATTGTTATTTGTTACAGTTGTAGCCTTACTTTGTTATTCCTGTGGTTTTTGAGGGTCCCCATGCCAAGGTTTTGTCCAATGTTAGGACCGACAAAATAGATGTTCCTCATGGAAACATCTTTCAGGCGAGGAGTATTTCAGAGAAAATCATGCCATTTGTTCGTGTAAATTATGTCAACAAGTTTGAGATTGGACACTGTCTTGAACTCGATGTAATGGTCACACTAAACGAATGTCTATATTGTACGAAAGAAGCTATCCATTGTTGTTAACTAATTGGCATTCATGCCCTGTATTCAAAAGTAATGTCCGACTCTTAAAATGTCCGAAAATCCCCTTCCTCTAAACCAACAAGTGTACAGCCACATACTAAAAAATCTGACTCTCTAGAAGGATACAGAAATATGTTGATTGATGCTGTTGATTTGCCTATCCTCAAAGCAAGACAAGCCACCTGCCTATTTGAGGGTATTGTGTGCACGTCAGCGTTGCCCTTAACGGTCACGAGGATCTCGGTGTCTATACTATTCACACGATTAAAAGTTCTTTTAGAATCACTCATCTTACCTGAAGGATGACAAGGGTAATGTTGTTTGAACAACACAAGAAAGATCTCGGTGTCTATACTATTCATACGATTAGAAGTTCTTTTAGAATCACTCATCTTACCCGAAGGATAACAAGGGTAATGTTGTTTGAACAACACAAGGTTGTGGCTCACGACCAGTTTGCCCTTCTATGGACTCATCAAATGGAAGTAGTTTCAGATTGTCCGTGCAACTTATTTTCTACCTGAACACCACCTTTTACACAAGTAACTTGTTGCTTACTGGAGACCGAAGTGAATCTCGTTTGAATCTCTCATCAATGGTATCCACTGTTGAGACGTAAACTAACAATAACTGGGGAAAAGTGACACTTTGGAAGTTCCATTAGTGCTACTCTCTGTTGAGACGTGCAGCTCGGATCGGAATTTCGGATCCCATAATGTGGAAAAAAAGTTCGAGCCCCAACTTTTCCGATGGGAAGGCTTTACCGAAAATTATCGCGGCCTTCAACGAGATGAAATGCATTCAGAGACAAAGAGAGATGGTTTCATCAAACCACAGCTTAAGGGGTCGTTTGGCAGGAGCCCGTAAGGTGAAATCGCGTGTTGAGTTGAACCGCACTTACCTAACCGCCCAACCACCAACGGGACATGAGTAATGGAAAGAATATCTCACAGAGTGCAGTTGGCTCAGACATGTCTCAGCTCACATGCAGTTGCTATGAGATTTAAGTGACAGGACAAATAGAACCTTAGGCGAAGACATTTTGGGACACGTCTCGTTATTAGTGTGGGTTGACCAAACCTTCGACAAGAGTTCAAATGTGGGTTCGCAAAAAGACCTTGTCGACCGCATTACAAAGTACTGACCATCGAGTTGACAAACAAATGATCTCCTACAGCCTTACATCGCAACTCTAACCCGGATTTATTGGCGCTTAAGATAAAATGGTGATCACCTGATATCGATTACCATTGTGCTCTTGCTATGCACCACTAACTTACCTTTGTGGTAATAATTCAGCCCGATTAGTACACAGAATGCCTGAAAAATTTGACCGTATTGTCGGATATTGATTGCATTTTGCACAAGGTTGAGGATATAAGAACGAAATGTTAGCATTCCATACATTACCCCTACTTTCAATAGGAAACTGCATCGAAAGACACTGCGTTTCCAGGCTTATTTTTGATAAAGTATTCCAGTGAATTTGTTGACTTCATTCTGAACCGTTGATATGAAGAATAAAACCGCAAAATATCTTCAACTTTATAAAAACCGTGGTGACACGCCGAAACAACCAAAGGTTGACATAGCCTGGGATACACCAATCTGTGGTATGGTGTTTCAAATTTGTTACCGTGAATTTCACATACTTCTTTACTAATTGCAAACTCATAAAGTCACCTGTGGTAGACCAGTCAAAAACAGTAAAAAAAATTATCACTTTAGTAAAAAAACAGAAGACTATTTTTAAATGGATCGTAACCTACTGAATATTATGTAAAAAGTTTGAAGTGGCTACAATCGGTATGCAGTAAAAGTTAAATGAACGGTTTGGTGATAAAAGCAAGGTCACCGCGGTATTCCTGTACGATGCTTTGCGCGTGGGCCCTTGGGAATTTTCCTTGTCTGTTAGTTGCATGTATCCGTTTTTTCCGAATAGACTAGGCGCTCATCCTACTCCCCAAGGATCACCAAAATAGAACTTCATCGACTGATCCCACCAAATGGCTAGGCATGGTGGACGGCTGATGAATATATATTCTACACATCTGTTATCTGCGTTAACCCAGTGAACAGGACCGGAATTCCAACTTTGCAAACTTTACAAATCATACCATAAACGAGAGATTCAGCTGGGTCTCTTGTGAAAACCAAATTGATTTGCAAATGAGTGTATTTCTCAAAAACTTTCCAAACTCTTTCATCTAAGACGTCACTTTGGATCTACTGGATAAGGAAGCATGGTAAACTGTGACCCTCCAAATTTGTTGACAAATACAGGTCGCAAGTGAAACTCACCTGTATTATCGGACGCGACTTGATGAATATCTGCTTTAGGCGAGTCGACCGAACTGTGCTTCCTTTTTGCCTGCTCATCCTTCGAATTACTTGAACTATCAGGTGACTGCATCACAAATGGCGAGGCTCAGAAATGAGCAGGTTTCCAAAAAGGTGACAGAATGTAAAACAAGTAGCCACGAATTTTAGCCTTTAATGCGGTCAGGTAGATAGAGGCTAATGCAATTTCGCTATCAATCCGATTTATGGAATTGCGTTTATGTGCGGTCGCTTGTGCGTGTATGTGTTTGTGTTTGTGAGCTTGCCTGTGAGTAGCGACAAACTTGGGAAGCAAACGATGAGGTGACGGGTGTGCGCGCCATACTGTTCTTGCTTTGCCAAGCATCAGAGTTGGTCGGGGAGAGGGGTTACGGTGACCAGACAGTAGTGAATCGAAAGGTAACAAAGTACCACGATCCTCTCGCGTCGCACATCAACGGTCAGAAGAGCGTGAAACAACTTCAAGGACCACTCAGCTCATCAGGTATGCAGGATTGGTGGAATTTGGCAGCATTCGCTCGAGTCGAAATGTCGGTATGTGAGCCAGATTGGATTGAGGTGAAATGCTATGGTTTTGAAGGAAGGGGTGCTGGTGCCCATGCAATGGACTGTTCTGAGGACGAAAAGGAGGGTGGCAGTGAACAGTTATTCTCACAATTGGTCACTTGGTCATCAGATTGATTGCCTATCGTTTGTCCCACTTTGCATACTCATCCTTCGATACACCCACACTGTCAGTGTGGCAAAATTGAGACGCAGCGTGATCAGTGAAAAATTAATATACGCCAGTTTTTTTTATGTGGAGTGGAAATGAGTTGCAAACGAGACGTTCTTCGTATTATTATCATCAGTATGAGATGAACAGAAAGTGTGAGGGTCATATGGTTGTCGGTAAATTGCAACCTCTCCAAAAGGACGGTATAAAAACATTTTTTCTCGACTTGTCAAAAAAGCATTTAAGAACGGCAGTGGTTTTCTTCCCTGATTTCATTGAATTTATACTGCCTAGGTGCACGGTCACCGCCTATGATATACAGCAGGCTAGTAAGGCCGCTTTTTAAGTTGCTGCAGACGGTGTTTAGAGCGTTGTACGGATGCAGCGTTTGAGCTTAGCAAGGTGGCAGATACATCAATGCAATTAAAATCAAAAGTTTCCGTAGTAAAACTTGTTAAATGCAGTCCCTTACTGCTCCCGATATTCTACGATGGGGATCTTAGGATATAAGTGCGGACAGTTCATATGGCGAGATCCGCGGATTACCTCTAGTGTACCAAATTTAACAGTAAAATTCGAGTACAATACGCATGGGAGTACCCTAACATTACAGTGAATAAGATGACGCGAAAAAGTCCAATAACGCATAAGTTTAGAAACCAGTTTTATGTACAAATATGTATATATATAACATTTGTGAACAAGGTATTGTTTTTTCCTTCCCATTTGTAATTTGTCGTCAGTGACTAAAATGTTTTTAAACCGATCAACTAGAACATCAGTGAGCCCCAAGAACACAACTGTGTAAAATCAGCAACAAACTGATGGCGTTATGCATACTTCCCTTTGCTTTTGGAATGAATCTGTATCCCAGTGAGGAAGCCGGCGAGCAAACGGAAAAAATATTCGACCCTTTGTAAGAGCGAATAACTCAGATCAGGTTGAAGGGACATGTAATACTTATGTCCACCCACCAACGTCCCGAAAAGTCCTCTGCTCCAGAAGACGGCTTGAGAAATGTCTGTGAGGGGAGGTTCATGACGTGGCAACATGTAATCAGAGCAGTGTGATGCTGCGTGGTCTCCACGCTTTCATGGAGGGAGCCAAAGTGATCCTATTTACAAGTGGTTAAAAATTCAACAAGAAATCACACAACCACTCTGGTTGACGAGGACGCTGTCGATTCCCAATCAAAGTCCCTAACTAAAGCTCTCTAGCGCGAGGTATACAAGGTTCGCAAACGATGCCAATTCAGCCCCTCTGAAGCACAAGTTGCTCAAATACATTTCTATTTTCGTCCAAATATTTATGCACCTTACTCTTGCTCCCCTCCATTAAGCGCATGGGATTTCTTATTTTCCATCGTTTTCAACACTTTACGGAAGCTTTCATCCCCGAAGTTGTATGGAGATCAGCCTCAATGATACTACTGGTATATTTCTGTTACTGATGACAGCGCCTGTCTTGAACGAATCACCTTCAAATTGAAACTTATCAAGTTTCACTCCAAATAGTTTTCAGGGCAATATTAGGGAGATGCTGCTGGAAATTACATACTTCTTGATTCAAAGTTTAGAGCTTTGGATAGTGCAGGTAGTCGGTGAGCTTCTGGAGGAATAAATTGTAAATATAAACGAGGATGATGTGACTGACACATGTTCGAGGGGGTAACCAGTATGGTGTCATGGGGGCCAGAGGTTAACTGAATGCTGAATGCTGCTCTACCTGGCTATACTACCCCTACAAAAAGTTTAATTATAGCAGGGGCATTTAACCCCTGGGCAGATGTTGCGAAGTTTTTAAAAGGATGTCCTGTGCTGGAAGAATTTTTTCCGCCTCACCGACTTGGTAACTACCTTCCTCAGTAACCGGGTAGAAAGTCAACACCGTTTTAGAATCTTAGCAAGGTCATACAGAATCAATAGACAGAATTTTGGTCAACAGAAATTATAGGGAACGCCGTTAAATTTGTCGAGATCCACAAATGTGTGCTGCATTAATAAAGTTTTCCAACGTTTTCGAAAAGGGATAGTTTAATGGAACAATATTTGGTTCACAGTCTTGACAGACGCGCGAAAATAGATTGTGAATAGGACGAGAATGTGACAGTGGCATTCAACGCATCCAGTGAAGCGGAAAATTATCTCTATTTCTCTCATCAATGGTTCGGAACAAAAGACGGCATTTGGATTGATCAGATGGCCATATGACGGTGGAATCTCGATGTGATCGAAATGACAGCAATGTACTTTGCCTTCCTTGATTCCTATTTCTGGCTCTGACTAAATTTCAGTATGTCCACCCAATCTTGACGGTAACCCAGCTGTAAATTTCCCCAAAAAGCTGACTTCGATTGTTTAATTTAGCTTTGTATCAGCATTTAAGGTTTCATAGACGATTTTTAGTTAGGAATTTACCGTTCATAACGTTAGCACCCGTAACCGTTTCCGAAAGTGACTGTGTTGCTGGAGTCAATAAGCCTTATTTATCGTCTCATTTGTCAGATTGATCCGTGTCCCTAGAGTTTCTGCAGTCTAATAATTTCAATACAGAAGGCAGATATATATGCTATCTCATACGACCGATGTGTTAGCACTACTACAATTCAAGTTTGTCGACACAAACTTCGGCACATACCTGGGTGTGCAATGCAGCAGTCAGGTGGTCATTTTATACTCATGGTTAAAAACTTAGGATCTATCGTTCCAGCATCGTGTGCACACAATTGAGACGTATACGTACACATTCAGCAAAACTGAGATATCAGTTAAGAATTTATTACACGGACTACGAAGCTGATTTTATGGTGTTGGGAATCGCCCACATTTCGCATAAAGGTTTGCCAAACCGTAATAACGGGAACAATGAATAGCCCTTACAACGCAAAGTGCAGTATCGTTGGAAGGTTTTCGCAGATACGCTTTCAAATTTCTAACATGCTTACTGGCCAGCACACTAGACGAATACTAAGGAAACTCCACTGAAGCGATACATTGTTTGTCTTCTCCCTACCCGAATATATCCACCGCATACGAAAGATCTGCTTTCGAAATGAAGAAAAAATCGCAAGATCAACGGTTCAAGAATATCAGGGCTGTTTGCATCTGGCTAGACTATCTTTATTAAAGACAACACCTGAAAGGTAATTTCAAATTTTACCATCATATTGAGGGAATTACACACGAGTATGTGAGCAAAAATTCAGTGTCCAAATAGATGCCTTGAAAAGTGAAGAATTTATCAACAAAGACAATCTTCATGATCGTACTACCGTTCGAGATAAAACAAGGTAATTCCAACGGAAAACTTGGTGATTCTGGTATCTTCCATCTAAAATTCAGCAATCTTGATGTTTTGGGAGAACAATCTTGAAGATTCTCGTAATATCCAAAGACTGCAAAGTGAACGGTATCCAACTGTGTATCTACTGCTTTGTGTCTAGAATAAACACAATATGCCAAATGATGTGTTGCTCTCGCCTTCAATGCTCAGCTGTCTACTTCACCTCCCCAAATCATCAGTGAACGAAACTGTGGCAGCTACGACCACTGTGCGAAAAGTGCGCGTCTCTTACAGCTGACAATGATGATTACGATGACGTTCCTCTAGGAACGGATTCCACGAAAACTTCCAGAAACAGAATCAAAATGCCAAACACGACTAATATTTTCTTAGCAGTGATTTTCCTAAACGGTTATCTCTTCAGGTCGACAAAGTAAACTTGCCGGTGAATGTTCAGAAGGTCTCACCTGGTTAGCTAATAGTCCCCTCGGAATGCTAACAAATGCCAAACCATGGGCTTGAATTTTCGGTCTTTGTTTACGCTGCTTGTATGTTTGCATCCTAAAAATGTCCTGCAGACCCTTTCGGCTTTATTGAAGCTAATCGGATAAGCATGAAGGAGGGTGTGACTATGATAGGGAGTTCGTGGAGGCCACTTCAGTTTCGCACGTCTGCTGACCAGTTGGTGCGACCCGTGAATCACCTCCAAATTCAAATTCATCAGGATCGTAGTTTGGCACTTTGATACAGCTCGAATGGCTTGTTTTTCAAACTAGTTCATTCTTCATGTTCCACATTCATGGATAGTTTATATTTGGCTGTCAGGCCACAAAAAACTTTAACCAAAATAATTTTACGAGCGCCGTAGGAGAGAGGAAATATGCGTATCGAATATCTGCGTATTCCATGCAAGAATTTATTACGCTATTATCAGACGATGCACTTTTCGAAAAACTCGGGGTATCGACCAATTGGTGACGGTTTCCCAACAACCACGAATTAGCAAAATTGGTTTGGTTCATGTCAGACCAAAATAACAATGCTTTCTCACTTTGGGATCATATTAGACGAGAGCGGTGTCTAATCAAATTATGGGTCTTCCGATTTTTGTTACATCAAAGTTTAGACGCAGTCTGGACTGTCATTCTGCTTCCTTGTATCTGAAACATAGACGCCGTTTGCCAAAACTGTCACGGTATTCGTGTGGAGTTTCCAGATTCCTTCCATTCACACAAATTGATAAGTTTGTCTGAGCGAATATGACAGTTTTTCTTCGTAGGAGAAGTGATTCCCGTTATCCCGCAAAAGCAGTCTGAGTTAATGGACGAAATGAGAAGTGGATTCGAGCTTGATGAAGATTTGCGGAACTAGCTGGATCAACCGTATGATTGTTGATCATATCGTGCTCATTTTACTCTCACAATCATGTCGTTCGTCGTCGAGTGACATTCTCGGAGGCCTGAAATATATCAAACTACTGGACGATTTTAATTTTGATGTGTCCGAATATCTGCGTGACAGATTAACTCCTATAAAAGCTGAAACTAGGTTCATTGTCCCGCTTTGGACTAGACTAGCCGGAAAAAATTTGAAGAAATACAGGATGCACGGTTTGAACAAGAATGGTATGCGCACAGCCTATCTAGGTGAAGCATGTATTGTTTAGACACAGGTAACTATGTCCTTTGTCTGAGTTTTGGTAGTCCACGGGGATTAAAAACTTTTAAGGTATGATAAAGTCTCGGAAATATCATCATCATTGTGATGAAAACTTCGAAAAAGACCAAGACATGCTTTGCTAAATAAATTGAGGCCGATAAACGACACAAAAACAGGTTATGGCAATCACATATATGGAATTGTGGGCTAAGAGGATAAGAGCTGACTGCAGGCCATTAGATCAGCTGACTCCAACCTATCTACGACCCTCCCCGTAACGTCCGCAGTTCAAAAAGAACGACATCTTTGTGCACCTCTATCACACGTATAGGTAATTTCCCCCCCCCCCCCCCCCCCCCCCCTCCCTCTCCCCTTCTCTCAAACAACACCAGCTTGTGATGAGAGGTCAAATTGAATAAACCGGAAATAGATATCAATCGTAGCTTGAGAAGAACCACTGGAATTTCTCGTTGCCCGCTAATGTATGAGTTTTGCATCAGGAATGATAAAATGGATTGTCCCTCACATGATCCTTAAGGTAAAAGTGACTGTCACATTATACTACAGATGTAACGGACGGGGGCCATAAGGTCGAAAGCGTTCTGATGACAGGAATTTCGTGTTCAGTCCACGGGCAAAAGCCAAAAGGATCCTCATCGCCCGTGAACAGTTCGGAATATTCCTCGACCACGGCCCGTGTTGACGGTATATTATAAGACGGAAGTTTTCGGACACAGCCCACTCACGACAGTGCCTGGATAACCTTCAAGCTTGATTGCGCCATACTTTGCCACCAGCCTTCCCTGCTTTAGGTCAATCACGGAATCTGTGCCCTTGAGAAAATCAGCTCCCAATATTGTCTGTGCTACATCTGGGCTGATTAGGAACGCGCCTAGGCGTTGACAATCCGTCAATCTTCAGTCGATATCCACCAACAGCTCTCATGGCTAGCACGCACGGTCTGCGCTCAGCCTGGTTCCCCCTTTGCCTCAGCGATACGCCTGCTCCTGTATCAATCAGACATAACTCCTTTTTCCCGTCTATCTACCTATGGTAGCCTGTGTCAGTGCGCTAATCGCGACCCACCCAGGAAAAGAGGAGTACTCTAAAGTTTTATCGTGCACAAGTGATCGGGTACGGGGACACTGATTCTTCCAGTGGCCAGGCTTGCCACACATGTAGCACCGGCTGGTTGGAGCGTGCCTCCGCGATTCCGTCTTCAAGGCTGTCAGCTGTTCGGCAAGTTGGTCCACTCTGGTCTGCAGTTCCTCCACTGATGAACCATCCCTCTTCTCCTGCGGCTGCAACGTGGTCAGTGGTGCCTCTTGCAGTTCCCGGGCAGCGACAGTCCTGAGGATCCCACGACGTGACATAACATTCAGAAGTAACAGTTTAGTTTCAAAGGACAGGATTATTTGGGATGCAACCAGAGGCCCCAGGATCTATGCAGATTAGGCGTGTGAACTGCGGTGGAGTCAGCCTCGCTGAACAATGGAGTGCTCACTGTCAATCACATTAGTGGCTTGTATAGGGTAGTTTTGTTTACATTCTTTATTGAAGCCCGCTGGACCTTTCTGTCCTAATTTGCGTATTGTTGTCACCCCTAATGAAGCATGCGAGTATCCTGTGGCCTGGTAAAAAGCTCCGCTATCGTCTCTGATGGAAGGGTAAGATTATTAATGAAATTGTGGAACCGCTTTGTAATTTTTGCTTACCATCATTCAGTCGCCAATGGAAGTCCAGGAAGACCCAAGAGAACGCGTGAAAATGTCCGCTTTTCAATATTTCAGCGCATGTGAGATATTTTCTTTCACGTCTGATGGTTTTTAGTTGCTTACTTCGTGTTTTCTAATAAAAGACTTTGCAGAGGATGGTTTTTCTCCTTTCATTAGTGGCTTAATGACTGCTTAACTGCGTTGGCGTGTTGCAAGCTTACCCAGAAAAAAATTGTTTGTATAAGTTACAATGAAAAGAGCTTTAGTTCCCCGTGTCTGAGAGGAAATACTAGCCAACGCGAGCTGCTTGATGTAAAATTACTTGTCATTGAGCTCGTCGTCATATTATCGCGCCCGGGCTAATAAATAGCTCTCCACTGGCCGATAAGGATATAGACAATGATCTTATCCCCTCAGTCCGCACTTGACTCCGTGAAAACCTGTAATGGTTGCTTCATTGTGTGCAGGCCTGTGGAAGCCTAATCATGCGTTTTGGGTGTCATCCACTATGAAATGAATACTGAGAGAAATGTCTTAGGCTTATCAACAAGTTGGAAACCTTGGTAATAGTTCATGCTTTCGTTCAGGACAAATATGATGTAAAGACGAAGGCTTTTGTTAAGGCGAGGGACAGCGACAAAATTAATGGGACAAACATTAACAGGCCATCCAACATATTGGCTCTTTAAAATACATTCAGATACACACATAATTTAGACGATTTCCTATTCAGCGTTAATGTCTCCAGCTTCATAGAATATTCCGCCTAGCACATGGCGTGCTTTCACAGTTCCTTGTCGGTAAATGAACGAAAAAGTATCCTGTAATTACAACCGCCATCCCGCAGTAAACTGATTCATCTGTCAGAGATAACGCGATGTTCGGTGCTAGCTTACACGAAAGCAGATTTTGACGAAAATGGAAACAGCTCCACTGCTAACTCTCGGGTTTTCTGAAGTGGCTATATCTAAAATTTGGAAGTCATGCATCAAAGACAGTATTTGTTTTCATAAAGTGGACTACTCACAAGGTTGCTGAAAACTCTTCGACAGTCCACGACCGGTTTTGCCCTTCTTGGGGCTCATTAGTTAGGCGCAATACCCGAGTTTCCATCAACCTTATGTTCCGATTGAACCCAAATTGGACTGTTTTCTAGAAGTACACGCATTTGCAAATCAATTTGGTTTGGCGGCCTGTGTGTCCAGCACATTCAGTTGCAGAATATCATAAACGAGAGATTCAGTTGAGTCTCCCGTGAAAACCAAGTTGATTTGCAAATGAGTGTATTTCTCGAAAACAGTGCTCGCTCAGTTCGTACTGAAACTGGCTGGTTTCCTATGACTACTACCACATCCCGTTTACTATTGTTATTTCACACCTTCATCTCTAATAACTTCTAGAAGGAGCCCTACACGTCCTTGAGAGTTTTGAAGTAGGTTACGGCTGATATTTGTCACATAGCATTCTTTTCCCACCAAAGCCTAGGACATGCGACGTCTTCCGCCGTATTTCTGTAGAAAGTGGATTACCTAATTGTGTCGCTTTATATTTAGGCTACCCACTACTTGAGTAGATGTAATTTTGATGGCAGCTGCATACTTCAACTCGAAGATTAGATGAATCTCAGAACATCGCTCAAGTGAGGGCAATGTTTCCAGCTCCGATTATTTCCACGTCCAGTTACCCACCAGGGGGTCACCCTCAGGGAAGGTGGAAATCTTTCGAGCGTACTCAGAAGAAGTGTCTGTGGGAAGTAAATGTTGTTGTAGAATTAATAGGCTGAGATACATTGAACCTGTGAAACACAGTAATTTAGAGGAATAATTCACAACTCCCTATCATAGTGCTTCATTTGACTTGGGCGTTGTTCGATGGTAAAACAAAATGAAGTTATTAGAAACGAAGGCCTTCTTGGTCTTTACTCAAGATAAGTGAAGTACGATTGCTTTGGTTTTTCTTTCAGTCTGAATTTTTTGCACCCCGGATTTTTAGTGTAAACCCTCTAGCTATTGAGGAAAATATTTTGGTATCTTAGGTTGCAATGACGACCATTGGTTTGTTTGCTGACTTGTTCGCTGAAGTGTTCGATGCAAAAGATTTGTCCAGATGAGTGAACCAACCAGCCGATCATTGCGCTCAGTTCGTACTGAAACTGGCTGGTTTCCTATGACTACTACCACATCCCGTTTACTATTGTTATTTCACACCTTCATCTCTAATAACTTCTAGAAGGAGCCCTACACGTCCTTGAGAGTTTTGAAGTAGGTTACGGCTGATATTTGTCACATAGCATTCTTTTCCCACCAAAGCCTAGGACATGCGACGTCTTCCGCCGTATTTCTGTAGAAAGTGGATTACCTAATTGTGTCGCTTTATATTTAGGCTACCCACTCCTTGAGTAGATGTAATTTTGATGGCAGCTGCATACTTCAACTCGAAGATTAGATGAATCTCAGAACATCGCTCAAGTGAGGGCAATGTTTCCAGCTCCGATTATTTCCACGTCCAGTTACCCACCAGGGGGTCACCCTCAGGGAAGGTGGAAATCTTTCGAGCGTACTCAGAAGAAGTGTCTGTGGGAAGTAAATGTTGTTGTAGAATTAATAGGCTGAGATACATTGAACCTGTGAAACACAGTAATTTAGAGGAATAATTCACAACTCCCTATCATAGTGCTTCATTTGACTTGGGCGTTGTTCGATGGTAAAACAAAATGAAGTTATTAGAAACGAAGGCCTTCTTGGTCTTTACTCAAGATAAGTGAAGTACGATTGCTTTGGTTTTTCTTTCAGTCTGAATTTTTTGCACCCCGGATTTTTAGTGTAAACCCTCTAGCTATTGAGGAAAATATTTTGGTATCTTAGGTTGCAATGACGACCATTGGTTTGTTTGCTGACTTGTTCGCTGAAGTGTTCGATGCAAAAGATTTGTCCAGATGAGTGAACCAACCAGCCGATCATTGCATGTACAGTAGGAACAATAGTCGTCAGCTAAGTAATTTATGTACATTTTCCGTGCCTTGCAAGTGACAAGCATCTTACTATTTCTAGAAGACGGAAAAGATATTCGTAGATCTTAAACCAATACACGAAGCCCCCTCAATTGTTTATTGTACCGCAGCCATATTATCCACACGATATCCAACGGGATAATTACATCCTATGGACAAACTAGCGTCCATATTCCAACTGTTGCTTGGATTGCAGGTTGATTTAGCAAGCACACAGGTCAATAGATTAAGCGCTTTGTGTGCTTGCTCACTGAACTTTAGTATTAAAGTTTCTTCAATTTCCAAGCTTGTGAATCAGTCTACCAAAAAGCATAAGTTCTGTGTTGAGTTAAGTGCACCGCATTTATTGATTCAATATGGTAAAATCGAAAAATCTGAAACGTTTCAAGGTAGTTCATTGTGTGTACATCACTCAAATCACTCATTACTGAATAGTCTCATGCACAGTGGGACACTGATAATGGTGAGCAGATAAGGAGGTCATATTTTCTCGCAACAAGTAAAATACACCAGATGGAATAAGGCCTGCAAAATTGTTGTGCCCCTGCTGCTAATACTGTTCTACAGAAAACGAAATTTCCGGCTTGTATCATCGACAAAATGAGTTAGTTACGGCGTTTGCTAGCCCCTATTTTCAATTAGGTGGCGAATTAATCCCGCACATGCCCCTCAGTTCACTATGTCTCAAAGAGTAAACCTTTCACTACTTATTTTAGCAGAAGTAGCCTAAAATTTCCGTCATTGTGATCCCTGCTCAAGTGAGATCATGTGCACGTCGAAAGTGCGGGAGGTGAAAGCCTGAAGTAATTTCTTTGGAAAGTAGCATGCTGATATTGTCCTGTATAATATGCAACACGGAGGCGGTCTCGAGATTGTTGTACGGAAAAATACCAGCAACTCTTCTCATGTTATCCAAGCGGGTCTCCATCGCCAGCATTTTCCGCAGGCATACTACCAGATTGCTGCTCAAGTCAGGGACGACTATTCACGTGATGAGCCCCACGCTCAAAAACACCGGTAAAGGTAAGGGCGCCTTCGCGTGTGAAGTTGTTTGCTTGCCAACACGAGCTCGAGATGAACGAGTGTTTAGGCGGCGAGTCTACTGACTGGATGGCCCGTGATTCGAAGCAATCCTCTGCATGTCGACTGCTCGTGTTTAAGATTAGGCAACCTAGCGGTACCTGAGCCCCGTGTTTCCTTCTGGTTGCAGGGCAACTAGACACCAAAAGGATGTTATAGCTGAATGATTGCTATTTAATAATATTAGACACTGAGCCCCGTTTCTTCAGTGGTAAACACCGTTGCACCACTAGTTGGTGATATACGCATTTCGAAAAGTTAAACTCATCAACGCATCCATCAGTTTATTTTAGCTCGTTCAAAATATTTACTGAGCTCAAATCCATGCGCTGAGATGCAGGGGCTTCAGCTGCTTCAGTTTCGTTCACTGAAGATGAGGAAAACAAGGAAATGATAGCCACACTTTGAGGGCGAGAGCCCAATCAGCCTAATAACGTCAAATGGTCCACATAAAGGAAACTACTCACAAGGTTCCTGAGAACTCTTCGACAGCCCACGACCGGTTTCACCCTTCTTGGATCTCATCAGGTAGGCAAAGTCCCCGAGTTTCTGTCAACTTTATGTTCTA